TTTTGAACATTATTACCAGAATTTTCACATAATACAAATTTTTCGTAAGATACATACAACTTCATTCACTTATCAAATATATCGGTTTCTAATATTCAAAGAGAATTTCATTATTACACTTGATACTAAGTAGCTCTTATGAAGAAATATAAATCATAATTTGAATAATACAGATGAGCATATAAACTATTGCTATACGATGATGAACTAAAATTATAAAATAGATAGGCTAGTGATAACCACTATTGTAATCTATAAAACTATCGACTTGATTACTACTGGATGACGCATTTGATGGAGGATTATTCGCATTGTCTATACTTGGATTAGTTGAAAAGTCATTTTCAATAGTAAAATCAAACGGCTGATCATTCGCTGATGACGTATGAATGTCAGCAAAGTTCTCCGAACTGGATAAGTTATTAAATGGGGAATGATGTTCGTGTGTGTACGACTGCAAATTGGTAGAAGGACTGTTTATCAAATTATCATCATCGTCGAAATTATTATTCTCTTTATTGTCGTTGGAACTGTGGTCAGTATTATGCATAGTAGGATTTTCAGAGGCCTGGCCTGTGGTAAAAAAATCCGGTGTATTACCAGTAAACATATCATTATAAGGATAGTTTTGGTTACTTTCTTGTGAATGGTTTGTAGATACTAATTCGTCATCTTCATTGGGAATCAAGTTTGAATGTGGATTGTTACTACTAGTCATTGAATTTGGTGAAGGGTTGGAATCGCGGCCTCCCAATGGAGACTTTTCGCTACTATTCCACACAGTCAGCTCTTTAGTAGTGAATTGAAAATTACCAGTAGATTGACCTTCATTATCTAAATTATTAGGATCATTTAACTGGATATGCGGATGAAAATTTGACGATTGATGTGGTATTTGGTTATTTTCTAAAATGAACGAGTTTAAGAATTGTAAAGAGTTCTTCACACCAACTAAGACATGTGGAATAGAGCTTCCACCCTCGTTACAGTAGGCCAAACTCACTTGCTGGTCTTCACTGAAATCATCACATATCGACCATTGGTTTGAATTTGAATTTACTCCGTTGAAGAAGTAAACAGAAAACTTCGGTTGATGGGATAGGCTTATTCTCAATTCATTATTTTCCTTGTTTATGTTATTGTCCAACAATGAGCAGCTTAGTATACTCGAAATTGGATAAAAAATTCTGAATAGAATTTTGGAATTGTTAGAGACGGCACTAAAAAAGTAGTTTATCTCAAAGTTCTTCATTGACAATAGCACCAATAAATCTACGTTTGCCATAATATTATTCAAAGTGAATGGGGATAAGTTGACTAAATTATTTCTTAATAAAGATTCTTCATGATATCCTGACTTAATTCTCTGCCACGATCCAACTGATAACGAAGAGCAGTCAACAAAGCAGTACTTTTCATTTATCTCTATGGGAATGCTAGGGATACCGGGTGTCAATGCTTTCCCAGGACTTCTGTTTGGTTCGTTAAAGCTATTTGATCTGCTTGAGTGTATACTGGTAGGAGGTTTCTTGCCACCTTCACTGGCAGTGCTGCCTCGTCCCATACGTTCAAACTTCCGTAATTTGGCTCGTCTATTCTGAAACCAAATCCTAACGGCCTTTTCTGTCATATTTGTTCGATCGCTTATTTCTTTCCTCTGCTCCGGGGATGGATTATGGTTGTTCTCAAATTCTAGCAACAAATAATCCAACACCTCTCCCGAGGCTCGAGTTCTCTTGCTAGATGAACCGTATTCGTCTGAGGACATTGTGCTTGTTATGTTGTCCCAGTCGGTTGAAAGAGGAGTAAATGCCTATTCCTTGGTTTGCTTTCCTGAATTTAGGTTCGTGGTCACCTAAAAAATGTGATGGATTAAAATGCTCGTATTCAACCCAACGCTACGTTTGGATCTCTTTAGCTTCAACTATTGTTCCTTTAAACTGGCTTACTTGTATAGTACTGCCTTCCTGATTTTACTCTAGATTTTTTTTTGCCTAATGCGCTGAATGAGTCTTTGTGTAACATTCGTATTTTATTGTCGTTTCGTACACGTGAACCGCTTAAGGCTAACATTACTGTCTAGGTATTCTATTATATATATATAGGATGTAATGATAGAGGAAAATTAAGTAGTAAGTTAAAGAAACAAATCCTCCAATTCAATTTCTTCAAATGCATCAAAACAATATTTTAAATCTTTCCATTTTTTTTGTGTTGGCTCCCATTCGTGAAAATCTTTGATAAGGATGTTAATCAAATGTAGGCCAGGAACGTTTTTGATTTTGAGTAAATCATTAAGTAAGCCCCGTATATTCCAAGGTATATGGAATTGGTTATTTTGGATCTGTTTGTAGTTTTGTATAGAAGTAGCTAGTAATCCTTTAGGATTAACCAAACTGGTGGTTTCGAGCGAATGCCTTATTGCAGTTAAATATACTATTTCGTGTTGGAATATTTTGCAGTGGCCACCATCTGCTAACGTACCGGCACACTTCTCGCTAAGGTCTCGGAGCAAGTTGTGATCGGAATAGCCCAAATTTTTCATGATTAGGATAATTTTTAGGAGGGAGATTAAGAATTTGGGTACCTCAGTATGCCTATCAACGAAAAGGCACTTGAAGACATTTGGGTGACTGAAGTTGACACCGATAGAAGAAAAAATAGGGACCCACTGATCATCAATGGATCCACAAAATGTTAGTTTGACATTGTTTTGTACCAAAATTTGCATACTTGCGATCATTCTGATGGATACTTCACTATTTGGCCTCTGAAGATCGAATAATTCATTAAGTATTTGATTCTCCGTGGAAGAATAAGCTCTGATAACTAGTTTGGAATTCAAACCTACAATCGGACCCAAATACATTCCGCCCATGCTCAATAATCCTATTTTCTTGTGCGAGCTTATATGGGAATAACGTTCTAATAACTTTGCTAATAAATGAATTGCAACTGGTGTGCCCAGTGAATGTGAAGCCACAAATAAAAAATCACAATTACATATGATATCAATCCAATTCTCTAAAAGTTTGAATAATTTATCGACTCTCTCCTTAATTGTACCTTCTCCCTCCAATGCAATAGTTTGAATGTCATAATCAATATTTGAAGTTCCATTTTCATGCAACCACGTTTCCATAGCTTTGGTGGCTTCATCTACAATGCTTATCGAGCTTCCTGTTGACTGACCTATTAATGTTTTTACCATTTTAATTGGTAAAAAACTATGAACTCCAATAATAACAACTTTTTTCACTTTCAACCTTTTATTTTGAACCTTTGCGCATGGCAAGCTATACAAATGACTTTCTGTAGGGTTCAAGTAGCAGAGAAGATGCTCCCCCATCAACCTTAGCCTTGTAACAATTGTTATCGTACGAAACGATTCATGTATATGAGGGGTTATCAAACAATAATCAGAAGTTTCAGGTACGTGAACATTTAGCCGCTCATTTGAAGTTACCGATGAGCTTGATGAATTAGCTGGCGGGCTATGTGATGGCCGCTGAACTCCATTTGCAGGAGTGGAATTTGAAGGAGGTTGTAAGGCTCTCTCCTGGGTCTCATTTGGCATCAAAGGTCTTTTTTTTGAACGATGTTTTACTGGTTGACTCTCAGTTTTGGTGTCACTAACGGCCAATTCAAAATCATGAATTTCATTACTAGTCATCGATTTTTTTAAAGCATAATTCGAGGAATCCTTTGAGCTTTCGATGGCTAATTTGGCTTGTTTAAACAACTCCGGATTACTTGTGCCTTCAAGGCTTTCATCACTGTCATCATTATTATTAGCAAAACCAAACCAAGAAAACCAACTATTAACTGTATTCTCTGGTTGAGTATTTTGTTGCTGGTCAATTCGCTTAATACCCTCATTTGATTCTTTTGCAAATGATTGTTGGGAGGATTCATTCTCAGGCGAAGTAAATGATTTCCTAGAAGATTGGATATCGTTCAGAAGTAATGGTGTATTCTCACCTGCATCTTCAGTGGATTTAAAGGTCGATGTATTATAGTAGTAACTCAATGCAGAACTCATCTTCTTGTATGGTGCCGCCCATTCAGTTTGTACTGCTTCTACCTCTTCCAATCTCTTTATATTCATACTCACGTCTAATGACTGCTGCTCTTCTTTCATTTTCCCATTCCAAAACCACCAATTTGACTCATTCGTGCCCTTGTCTTGGTCCTTACTATTGCCGTTGGTTACTGCTAGACTACTTTTTCGAGAACTAGCAGCTGAATTTTCATTAGATGCTTCCTTTATAATATTCAAACCATTATTGTTAGTCAATATACCATCGTTATTATTTTTATATTGTGTCTTACTTGATTTTGATGGATTTGTTTGCTTTGCTTTCGAACTAGACAAAGTAGGCCAACCAAATGAATTTGAAAAATTCAGCGGTGATCCTTGACTAGACATTTCGAATCAAATCAATCTAAGTTTAATACCCAATTATAATTTATATATTACTCGGAGTACCACACAATTATATATTCACTACTATATTACTTTATTGTAAGCGAACCTTTTTTTGTTATCGGTTATCCTACTAAATCGCGATTATGATATGATCAATATTGCACAATAAAAAAGAATAAGAGTAATTGATATGATATAGGAATGAGTAACGAAATTGAATGGAGTGAAGATATACTAAATAAGCTTCATGTAAGAGATCAGTACGAAAAGAAAGATTCGAAATACTTTAAGGCATTCAGTCAATTGAGTCAAGAAGCAAGGACGAATGATCAATTCAGTAATAGCGATAAGGGTATTGAACATAGCAAGCTACTAAAGGAGAATAATCATTTAAAGAAAGAAAACGAAAATTTAACGAATAGTCTAAACCAGACCACAATCCACTTAGAAAAATCTGAATTGAAGGTGAATGAGTTACTAAAATCGCAGGATCAGTTAGAGAGACAGAACAAAAATCTAAGTAACAAAATCAAGCATTTGAATTTAGAAATAATAGAGAAAAACAAGTCAGTAGAGATTCTAAATGATGAACTATTGTTGAATGAGATCCAGACCAATGTTTTAAATGATAGAATTAGCAAGTTGAGCGATGAGAATAAGAAGCTTGTGGAACGGTGGATTGAAAAAGTTAAGAGCGACGCAGAAAAGTTGAATGATGCTAACGAATTTCTAGAAAGAGTAAATAGGAAGTAAATAATTAATACATAAATATACTGACAATATATGAAGGAGAACCATAATCATATATTTGAACTAAAAAAATAAACCAAGAAGATATTGAAAAAGCATATCAAAAACCTATTTGCTGGTATCGACGACATATCTACCTAAGATTTTTCCTTGTTCCATAAGTTCGTAAACCAGTGGTAAATTAGATAAACCAATCACTTTGATAGGGCATTTAATTAATCCACGAGAGAAGAAATCAATTGCTTCTGTAGTGTCTGCCCTATTTCCTACGTATGAACCCACAATAGAAATTGATTTGACAACAGCATCAAACACTGGAGCTTTGATCTCAGCACCAGCTGGTAAACCAACTAGCACCACAGTACCACGAGATCTAACATACTCACACGATTGTGACATAGCCTTTTCCGATACAGATACATTAATTACTCCATGTGCCCCACCGTTAGTGATATTTTTGATATCTGCAACAATATCTTTGGACTTGGTAAAATCGACATACGCTTCTGAACCTAAAGATTTAACAAATTCACCCTTTTCTTCACCACCATCGATAGATACCACTCTATACCCCATAGCAGTGGCATACTGAATACATAAAGATCCCAATCCTCCACCAGCTCCAGATATAACGACCCACTGACCTGCCTTTAAGTTGGCTGACTTTAATGCCTTGTAAACAGTTACACCTGCACATAAAATAGGAGCTACCTCTGCTAAATCGGTTCCTTTAGGAATCTTTGCTGCTTGGACCGCATCAGCTGTTGCATACTGTTGAAACGAACCATCATGTGTATAACCAGATAAATCAGCACTGGGACAATTGGATTCATTTGAGTTTTGGCAGAATTCGCAACTCATGCAAGTACCATTCAACCACTTAATTCCAGCCAAATCACCAATTTCCCATCCTTTGACGTTTTCACCAATGGCAACAACAACACCAGCACCTTCATGGCCGCCAACCAATGGCAATTTGACTGGTAAAGGCCAATCTCCTTTCCATGCATGAAGATCAGTATGACAAATACCTGAATATTTGACATTTATTAAAATTTCAGTTGATTTTGGTTTTGGAACCGCGATATTTTTGTATTCTAAAGGGCCACCATTCGATTCGAATACGACGCCTTTTTGAGTTTCTGGAATTGAAGACATTAGATTAATTGATACAATGGGGGATTATTGTTTAAACAATTATAGCCATTAATTTAAGGATCATTCTAAATGTGCAGCTATTTATACATTTGCGACATCTCGGAATCCGGAAAAACTAGACACAAAATCAGATGATAAAAAACATCCGATTTAGTAGAAAATCAGTCAATTGGAATTGAAACGTCCGGTGGCGTGCAATTTAAGATTAGACATAGCAACTATGTCTGGCAATATACAATGATGTCGCCTTTTCGCCTATCGTCCCAATGAAAATAGCTGTTAAAAAATCTTTCGCATTCAAAGTAATTGGAACCACGCAAGAAGTCATTCATGAAATTTTCTAATGGTTGGAATATGATCAACCGAGACGGCCAATTCTTCGAATCCATATTGCGTGATTCGGAAAATAGCAGAAAATGATTTCTTAGATATTCGGTCGGGTTATCATAGAACTGATCTGATTCATCTCTATATGACCTTATTTCTTCAAGATTTCTAGAAGTTAAATGTAATGGAGGTTCACATGTAAGAAACCAAGACTTATTAACTAAATCAGGATTGTTTATGTGGCTCTGCCATGGAGTTGAATGGCATGGGGTAAGGAATCCGAATGATTCAATTTCCGGATGGGTTCCAAGATACTGTACTATATCAATTACACCCCTTTCATGAATTCGGGTGAAGAATATTGCAATCGCCATGTTTAATATGATAATGATTGGGACAAGAAATTTATAGACTCTTTGGAATTTCTGATTAGTTTCATAAATAGAATAGGCAGTCATTAAAATGAATATAGGCTGCAATGGGTATATGAATCTTATTTCTTTATGGTCAATTAGTGAAAATACACCAATCATAACTATGGCTATTTGGCCAAGAAGCGACTTATATTTTTTTAATACTATTGCTGAATGAAGAAGCCACGGCAAATAAGTCATTAAGATAATAGGAACTCCTTGAAATATGTAAAAATGCCATGGTGCAACACCATAAAACATGGATAAATTTCTTATTACATTAAACTCAACAAAGTTGTACAAGGGAAAAGTCACTTTGCCATAGAACGTGTAGTCCAAACCAGTATTAATCAATAATATTAATACTAATTCAACAGCTAGAATAAAAATCAACCTTATTAACTTGAAAGGTTGCTTTTCGAGCTTGTAATTTCTAAGAATGAAGTTGAAGCCCAAATAAAGCCAAATAATCCCATTGGTAGGTCTAACAATACAACTAACAAATGCGATTAGACAACTGATAGATAAATCTTTGTAATTGATTAAATTATCCCATGGCCAATAAGTAAGTGCGACAGTGGTAAGAACCATTTCAAAGCTATTTGAAAACGAGCGAGTAATGATATACCAATTGAATGGATTTAACAAGGATAAAATTAATGTCAACTTAGCGAGTTTTTCATTCTTTGTAAACCTTTTAGAAAATTTATACAAATAAACTTCCCCAATAGAAGCAATTAAAGCTCCTATTACTTTAGGTATCACAATTATGGGTCCATTACCAAGAGGAATGTAGGAAGCTATCTTATAGCCTAGTGCATAAAGCAACGGATGGATTGACGAACGTATTGCTTCGTCCCATTCCCATGTTATATAACCAGATCCAAATACAAGGTTATAAGCAGGCTCCAAACATTGATAAAATTCATCTGCTTGGAAGAATGTTTTTATAGTTAATGCATTCACTAGCCTAATGAAAAACAAACCGACGAACAACTTAAGCGTAGGCAACGGCTGCTCTATTATATTAGCATTTAACCGTTTCTTATCAAAGCTTTGATCCAGATGAAAACCATTAGAATCCTGGATTTCTTTTCTTCTTTTTCTTAGGGAATTATTGTGCTCCATTTCCATTCATATTGTAATAATTCCATACGTATAGAATTTGCTCGCGAGAAAAGTTATCTCAAAGATCTCATTTTATATACTAGTACGGTCTTTAGGTAATGGAAGAACAAATTTTACGACAAGAATTATATGAATGTGTGAGTTTATTAGACTTGGCCCATTTCAATTGTTGCCTAGGAAATGTGAATAATTCTAAAAGTCAATGCCTTGAGATAGTGAAGAAATTAAATCGTTTATCGAAAACCAATGTAATTAAAGAAAGATTCCGTTCTTTATTAAAAGATTTATCTTCATATACATTGAAATTCTATGACTCTATAGATAGCGGAAACTATTTTACTTATGATCATAAAATAATATGGTTAAGTTCGAAATTATATGGAGAGTTGTATCCTCCACTTACAGTATATTCAGATAAATTAGATTCATTTGATAGCTGTCTTTTGCCATCCCTGAAAATGAAAAGAGACAAAAGCGATAACCTACCCTTACCTGAATCTTTCAGTGCCCATTATGAACAAGTAAGTCTTACGAATTGGACTCTAGACTACAATGCGTTATCCGAATTGTATCAAGACCTTCTTACAAACTGTTCTTTCGTTTCATCTTTATTGTCCATTGTTGAATTAGATGGTACCAGACTCCTTGAAAAATTGATATCTCCTCGTGAAGATGTGTCATTATTTAAATGTCAATTATATTTCAATGGGTGTTCAAGGTTGGTTACCGTAGATAATACTCTACCATTTTTAAATGATTCTAATAGAAATTTAACAATAAATTCTATTTCTAAGAAGAATTTGTATTGGCCTGCATTAGTTGAGAAGGCTTATTTGAAAGTTTTGGGAAGTGGATATAAATTTGAAGGTTCAAACATGGCAATTGATACATATATGCTAATTAACTGGATTCCCGAAATCGTTCCAATAAACAGCAGCAGAATAGATTGTGATGTGATTTGGGACTACTACTTATCCAAAAAAGTTTTACTTGGTATAGGTACTGGAAAATTGAGTGTTGAATTATCAGGGAAATTAAATTTGATTTCTGGCCATGATTATCTTGTTGTTTCATTCGATCAAGCCACTCATACTATTGTTTTAAAAAACCCATGGATTGAAAATAGTAATAATTATGAGAGAACCTTAAGTATATCAGATCATGATTTACTACATTTCAAATATTTTTATATTAACTGGAATCCAGATGCATTTTTCAAATATAAGTCCCAAACAACATTCATATACAATGTTAAAGACAATTCCGGAACGCATATATACCAAAAGCCACAATTTTCTTTAATAAATTCTACAAAAGATTCTCAGAATATCTGGTTACTTCTTGAGAAGCATTTACCAATTAAAAACATATCTGAACAATTGATTAATATTCTGATTTATGAGACCCAGTGCGGGGATAAAGTCATGGTTTCCAATCAATACATAAGGGCTAATAAAGACTCTAATACAAATAGCAGATTGATGTTGCTCAAATTTACTATGCAGCCTCAACAAGCTTATACAGTTGTAATATCTAGTACGATTGGCCATACTTTTACATTGAATATGTATAATAATATATCTCGCGGTTTTAGTTTAAACAAAGCAAAATTCAAGTACACTACCTCAATTCCCATGATTGAAGACAAATGGACTTCTGCTAATAGTGGTGGTAATTGGTCTTTATCTACATATATTGATAACCCTCAGTATGATATACAAATCAAGGAATTATCCACGAATATGATGATTGGGCTTTTCAGTGAATTCAAAGACAAATTTGTAAATTTTCATATATTTCAATCAGATCCAAGAGACAGAGGGCGACATATACGTTTATTTGATAAGTCAAAATTGCTAGTTAATGAAAAATATAGCATGTCTTACCAATTTGAAGATTTAAAAAATTTGCAGCCTGGATTTTACAAGATCGTGGTATCGACATTTGATAGTAACTTGAAGGGAGATTTTAAGTTGCTTGCAATCCATGATTCTCCTCCTAGTGGTATAGTAATATCAAAAATCCACGCATCATTGGGCTTATTTCTCCAAAAATCAGAGGTCAGTTGGAATAATTCAAACCGATTCAAACTTTATTTCGAAGCAACTCAATTCAATTCTCGTTTTACATTTCACATTACGCATTACAACCACGATAATAAAAATACAGAATCTCTTTCGGATTATAGACCATCCATTCGAGGTTCTATATTCGATGCCGAGAACAGTCAACCAATCCAGATTAATGAAGAATGGAATGATTCACTCTACGGCTTATTTATTGATTGTGAAATTCAAAAACCTAATACCTACATTTTACTTGTTGAAAGATTCGAACTGGGGTCAGGCCGGTGTAAAATTGATATTGGCTGCAATAGAAAATTCAACATCTTATAAGGATGTATGTTAGATTATTCATAGTCACATAACTAGTACCATTTTCTCTCTCAATAATGATGATTAAGAATTAAAGCATGTAATAATCTATTTATTAGAGACTATTGAACCTAATAATAACATAACAACAAGCATTCATGATGTCTTAGTAGGCTCTTCAATAAATCGCTTTGATAGTGACACAAAACCATCAAACGCTCTTTCTTAACAATTGACGTGTCTATAAACAGTCGATAAATTCAGACAACGATTATCTTCTTTCAATTGCAACAAATAAACGTATTGAAGTTGAAAATGAAAGTTTCAATAGTTCGGTTATGCGTGGCTTTTGTTTCATTATTTGGTCTTACCATGGCTGCACTTACCAATGAAGAAATGATTAAGTATGTTAAATCGCAAGGAAATAAGGTTGTCAGTCTTAATGATGAAAATTATGAACACATATTAAATGGAGAGAGAGATTATCACTTGATTGTGATGTTATCATCGCAATCGGCAAAGATTAACTGTGCTTTATGTAATGAATTTAAACCAGAATTTGAAATCGTTGGAAATTCGTGGATTCAAGACCATCCAAATGGGTTAAGTAAGGAAGAATTGGAAGACACCGAATCGCTTATTCCAAAGAAGAATGTATACTTTATGTTTTCCGAATTTACTGAATCCCGTAACTTTTTCCTGTCCCTTCAACTTAATAATATTCCTAAAGTATTCCATTTCCCACCATCTACAAGTAAAAGGCCAAATGAGTATATCAAACAGTTCGATGAATACCAATTTTATCAAGGAGATCATAAATCATTGTTGGCATCTTGGTTAAATCAAATTACGGGACATACCTTCAATATCTATATCCCACCTGATTACACTAGAATTGCTACTAATGCGCTCATTACATTTGCATTAGTAATGTTAATTAGAAGGTTCAGTGCCCAATTCACAATGGTTGTCACATCTAAAATATTGTGGAGTGGTATTTCTTTAGTCGCTATACTATTATTGATTTCTGGTTACATGTTTAACCAAATTCGTGGAGTCCCCTTTGTAATGGAACACCAAAGTGGCAAAGTTGATTACTTTGTACCTCAGCAACAAAACCAATTAGGAGTTGAAACTCAAATTATGTCCTTCATTTATGGTTGTTTGAGCTTATTGGTAGTGATGTTAATTAAAAAAGCACCCGAAATTAAGAATTCTCATGTAAAATTGATTGCTGTTATAGTACTTAGTATTTTAATCTTTGTTTTGTATAGTATTTTACTTTCAATCTTCGGTATCAAGGGAATGGGTTACCCTTACAGATTCATAACATTATAAAAGTGAATGAGTTATATTCCCTAACCATCTCAAATTCTCCCATAAAATTATATATCTATATATCTATAAATAAACATTAACTTGTATCATTCATTTGCACCAATATGCAATTTTTTATTCATCCTCTCCACTCGTGCTTCCACTTTATCCAAAGATTTGACCGTCACAACTAATCGTTTCTTCAAATCTCGTATCTTATTGAAGGTTTCAGTGATTTCTTTTTCCGAAGTCATATTGCCATCATCTATTACCACTTTCTTGAAGCTCTTCAACCGATCTTCTATCAACCTAAGTCTTGTCAAAAGAATATATTGCGATTGACTTAACAGTTCAAAGTCCTCGTTAAGGTGATCTAATGGTGCATTCAAAATACTATGGGCTGTTAGCTCTATTGGATGAAGGCCCCCAATGTCTGAATCATGTTCATGTTCCGATAATTCATTAAGTTGATGTACAACATTATCAGGTACTTCATTATTGAGGATTTCATCCATACCATGGTTTCCATCATTATCAATAGCTCCTACTTTATCTGTTACTTGAGAATGCCTTGTATCCTTTTGTAGCTGCCGGGATTCATGATTTATTAGACTTTTATCCTTTATCTTGTCTTCCATAACATCAATGTTACTAATTAATATACCAATCAATATATTTCTATTATATTATTTGATATGCTATAGGCAGTTCATCTGTTTATCAAAGGTATGATTCAATCACATGCAGTATATTTATCTCAATAATTATCGATGGACTACAGTTAGCACTGATATTTTTGTCTTTTGATCTTATAATACTTGTACAATGCTGTCATCTGAGATAACGGAGGATAAGCTATTGTATAGAGAAATCAGGACAATCAAGGCTGGTGAAATCGAAAGATTTAAAATACATTATGCTTCGGATAAAAAAGGCGATGGAGCGTTGAAGCCTCCGAAGAGCCTTTGGGTTAAAGTCAAAAATATAGAGCTGATAGCGTTACGTGCAGCATATCTTGCAGGTCCATATGTTCTTTATGTTGATTGTAAAACTGAAGAATATGACCCTAATAAGAAATGTTTTATAACTGCTGATCAGCCAGTATTTGAGCCACAACTATTACCAGCCCAATCGTTCTATGCGGAACTATCGTGCCATACAATTAAAGAGTCTTACAATTGGACCATTGATGTTGTATCTCAGATTATTTTTAATAAGACTATAGACGTTGATTTTGAAATAACTATCGGTACATCTAAGAGTATTTTACATGATGCTTCTTTAGCGGAAAAGAAGGTTGAGAATAGTGATAAACGAGGGAAGTTTGTGCCTTCGACAGTTCTAAATGTAGAAAATCATGACACATTAGACTTGTGGAATTTGCCTTTGCCTGATACCAAAAAGCCTATACATTTGGTGATATTGACACATGGACTTCATTCTAATGTTAGTGTTGATATGCTATATCTAAAAGAACAGATTGATAAAGCAAATAATGGAGAAAACATTGTGGTTAAAGGATATTTTGGAAATATAGGTAAGACAGAAAGAGGTATCAAATATTTAGGAAGTAGGGTGGCCGAATATATTGTCGATTTGGTAACTAAAAATGAGACATACAATAACGGTAAAGTAGCAAAAATATCATTCATTGGACACTCTTTGGGTGGATTAGTACAAACATTTGCAATAGCGTATTTGCAAAATAATTTTGCATGGTTTTTCAAGAGCATTAAGCCTGTTAACTTTATCACGATAGCCTCACCCTTACTAGGTGTTGTTAACGAAAATCCAGCGTATGTTAAAATGGCACTACTGGCTGGAGTGGTTGGAAAAACGGGCCAAGAATTAGGACTAAAACTTGTTGAAAATGATTCAAAGCCGTTATTACTATTATTGCCCACAGGCCCAACACATAGAACACTAAAGATGTTCGTAAGACGAACAGTTTATGGAAATGTAGCCAATGATGGTATAGTACCATTAAGAACCTCTGCGTTATTGTACTTAGATTATAAGGGATTAACTCAAATTTTGAAAAATCCTGAGATAAAGAAGAAATATATTGCAAATAGTCAATCCACTGATAAGATTCCTGACAATAGCTCATTAAATGTTGACGAAAATGGTAACAGTAATGATGACTCGGTTCTACTGCTGTCTATTCAAGCCATGTTTTCATACTTCATGCCTCAGAAACAAAGGAAAAAGCCTGATGTTCAATATCAGAGATTTCAAACGAAGAAAGAAGGCAAATCCAATAGCACTTCAACGGAGAATGATATCGAAGACAGTGAAAATAATGACGACGCTTATGATGAATTACCTAAATCTTCGTTTGTTGAAGCAGCAACAACTCTAATATTACCTCCATTACCACCCTTGAAGTACATAACTGACCCAGATTCTCGTGACGATGTTGTAGTCCATGATAAGGTGTACCACGAAAACGATTTGCCTCCCAGAGATGTCAATTCTGAATCTCAGACAGATGCTTTAAAAGCTTCACGAATGGATAAAGATGATGAAATAAGTTCATCAAACGATGATTCTTCAAGCTCACAACAATCATCCTTACGTCAAAGATTCTTAGAATCACTCGACGTACAAAATGTGGAGCACATTGAAGAAGAGATTGCAAGGGAGTATCATAAGAATATGAGTTGGAGGAAAGTGTTGGTTAACTTGAAACCAGATGCTCATAATAATATTATTGTGAGAAGGAGGTTTGCAAATGCTTACGGTTGGCCCGTAATTGATCATATAGTAAAAAACCATTTCAAGGATGGCATAGATTCTTCAGATAAATATAACAAGCCAGACAGACCGAAAGTCTTCATTGGAAATGACCCTAATTTACCAAGCTCGGATTCATTAGATGCTGAAGTAGACCTTTCAGATATCCTTTCAAGAGATTTATTAACACAACAGAATGACGACATAGATAAGGAGAACGAGGTCGAAGAAGCTGATGGAGAGCATTGCGAACATGGTTGGATTAATTCTAAGGATAATTCTGAGTCCTTGTTTGCAGTCGGGCCGACAGGTCTCTTATCTGATGTGAGCGAAATGGTTGGTAATTTAAGAGATCAATGGTATAATTATAATGGCAATAGCAAAGGATCTAAACGAAAGATATCTGATCATTTCGAATCCAACGGGGATACAGATAAAGATTCAGAAAGAGAAATCTCCGATGATATCGATAAAGATGGTGATTTAGGGTTATCGAAACTGTTAATGGGAAATTTCATCTAGATTTAGCCACACATATCAATATAGAGTACATAGAACTAAGTTTTATTTTAATTACGAAATTAATTTATTCTAGTATACAAGATAATATTATGTCTATGGTAAGTCCTCTGCATCTTCAAATTGATCATCTTTCTCTTCCTCCCCTTCTTCTCCTTCTTCCTCTTCCTCTTCCTGTTCTTCTATAGGAAAGAGATCATTAATTTTATTTATAATTCCTTCACATGTTTCTTCATCAAATCTTTGATCGCATTCTTCAACTAATGCATACAAGTGAACCATTGATCTCGGTAATGAGTTAACGATTTGTAATTTTTCAACCTTCATTAGTTCGAGTCCATTCAAGTGAATCATCAACTCTTTAAATGCTTCTTGTGTCGTTATAGCTGAACTGGAGTTATTTTCTAAATAGGAAGATAAATCTCTAGTAATCTCTTCTAAGTTTAAACCGCATGCGGTAAAACGCTTCTTATTCTTCTTTTTATCATTTTCTTCTTCCTTAAACGTCCAATTATATTTGGATTTTATGCTATTCAAATGTTCTGTCACTTCGAAATTACACAAGAACTTATCTCTTTCTTCCAATATCTTCATCTGTATCAATCAGCTTGCAATATTTAAGTTAAATAGATTAATGTTTCTTACAAAATTTTCTTGATATCATCTAAATCGGTATATACAGGATTTGATTTTTTCACAGCTATTCACAATCATAGGTTAAAAGTCTTCACCATTCACTGATGATTTCTTGAATACACCAACAAACCCACCTCCAACAACCTTCAAACCGACCTTGGGTCTACATATGGAAACTTTTTCTTCCGATTCTCTAGTGAAAACGGTTTTAACGTCCCATTCTCTCGTTCCTCCACCATTCCCTGGAGGAAGTTCAATAGTCTTAGTCAAAGTTAAATCGATTAGCTTGTCAGTATTATGCTCCTTATTGTCTGACGTGCGTCTTGAATCTTCGATGACTTTTTTGCATTGCAAAATTTGGGTAACTGAGGGACAGAATACTATCAAAGTAGCCTCGAGCTTCATATGCTTGGCAATATCATGCAAATAGGCTTCTGGGTTTGGCAAATCAAGAAATACACCACTTAAATATGGATCCAAGCTTTCTTTTTGTTCATTTTGTTCCTCTAACCAAGCTGATGGTGTTTCAGAAACGTAAAATTCGACATCGTCCACATACCTTCCGTTCTTATAATTACTTACGTTCGATTTTCCAGCAGACGAATGCATAGTATTCCTATCTACAGAATGTAATATAGCTCCCCTAAGCGACTTATCGTTGTAATGTTTGGCCAAGCCATTTGCTGCATGTATAGCATTACATATTGACAAGGTCAAAGAGCCATTTCCAGTACCCGCTTCCAAAAAATGTTTAGGTTCACTCTCAAGCTTTATCACATCCGCATCCTTAACCATATTTGGGAAATCTACATCGATATCTGCCAATTGGACCAAAATGCTAGCATCGAATGAGTATATAGGTTGGGCTAATCTTTTAACCAAAGATGTGTATTCATCCAAAGTTGGTTCAGTAGCAATAAACTTATCGTCTCCTATATTGAACTTCTTACTCTCCTTCATTTTATACCGAAGATAAACTCTTTTTGGTTTACCAATTATATCATCATGAGAAAACTCTCCATTATGAGTTTGAACGACTACACCTTTTTTTAATGGTTTTGTTAAGTATGCTTGTGTCGGGTTTTTAAGTCGACGAACAATAGCTAGGTCACCTTCTTTAAACGTATTGGCCACATAAGATAGGAATTGTTTTCGAACCAAAGGCATTGGAATATGGTAAAATAATATTTTATCTCTTCCATCGCGATATCAAATCGCATAAATATTGTACATTAGGCTTAACAATTTATTTATCGTGTTAGCTTCTTTATGACTAAACTAATATTAGACCCTTTATCTTTGTCGTTAGAATTTCCCAAGGCTTCAGAATCCAGAATACATAGAGTTAGAATATTATGTCAGGTGGTAGAGTATGATGATTTGACTGCTACTCTTAAAGTGTGTCGGGTGCCTACTATACACAAATTGCATACAGAAATCAACTTAATCGATGAACCAACAGTAGAAGAATGCACGTTGAATGTAAACTTAATAGGAGTTTTGGATAAAGTAAACGTTGAAACAATCAGTGTTGGCTCAATCGTTAATATGGTAGGATATTTTAATGGGGCAGACGTGAATGTTATTGAATGCTACTCTGTTAATGGGTCATCCATAATACCAGAAAATAATGTGAAAGTTTTAGAGGAAATAAGCAAATTAAGGGATTTTGAATGAATTTCTATACATTTATAAAATTATTAACGTCACTACTCATCTAGAGTATCTGATTTGTCTTGCAACATAAACAGTGACGAGCTTAATCCAAAAGCAGGAGTCACTGATGTTAAAAATTGATCCCAAATCGATTCTACTGCGGCTTCAGGTAAGTCAAATTGTTTTGAATCTTTAAGAGAACTGCTTTGATTTTCCAATTGCCGTATTGAAGCTGCTTGTGATTTATAATTATTAGCCTCTGTTTGTGATGAATGTCTCTTGTTTTCAGCATTAGAATTATCAACAACATTATCGTTACCTATTTGGTCGTTTGCCTCAGTTGGTAATGACGGTAACTTATCTAAGTTATCAAAGAAATTAATTAGGTTATTTCCGGAGCTTTGTTGATCATTGTTATTAAGTAACTTCGACGACTTGTCAATACTAATCCATTCGAACGTAGGTGGTGATTGAGATATCTTATCAATATTATTATTCACTTCATCTTCTTTTGAGTTAGCATTTGATGCAAAGTGAAAAAAGTTATCTACCACATCCATCTGGGGGGTTTGCTCGATGATCTTGCCACTTTCTCCGGAATCAGATCTTGACTCCAAATTCTGAACTAAATTGTCAAGATTCGAATTAACATAGCCCACGGGTTGATTGTTAGCAATTTGCTGAGCCGTAGGAATATAACTATCAATTCCATGCATTATTTCATTATATTTAAGTTTCACTACAGCTGCTGTAAGGACCTCGAAGCTATGACGGCAATTATAAGCAGTAGCACATTTGTCAATTAATGAGTTTAAAACATTAATACATTCTCGTGATACCTTTTTCACTTCATTTATACTATTCTGTCTGCAGACATCGTCACTATTATAAATAGCATATAAATAGCAAGTTCCAGCCAAAAATAGATTATGAACTGTAACCCACGTATAGTTAATGCATTTACTCGCGTGTAACTGATTATAGCAATGAATAATTTCTTTCGATGAATCTTGAAGCCTTATAAAATCAGGAACCGATAATTTATTATTTTTTGGAGATAGTCCATGGATCATTAATATTGTATGGTTATAATTCAAGTTAAAGAATTCAACGTTAAAATCACAATTCATGTCTCTTTCAGCTTTCGGTAAATGGAGCTTCCAATTCTTCAATCTTTCGATTATGTCCAATTTCCATTCATGTAGATCAGAAAACTTTCGTGGTATATCTGAGTCTTCGTACAAAATTTTCTGAACTTCACTTTGAATTCGTCTCATTTCGAAGAATTCTAATGATACAGATTTATATGTTGGTGTTTCGCTCTTAAGAATCAGAAGATCATTATAATTGTTCTTCTCTATTAATGAATCATCCAAGGTACAAGGAAATGGGGTGGCTATACTTTCTTCAGGTATTCCAACGGGTCTACCTAAATAAAAGCAAACTTGTCTGTCCAAAGAGTATGTGCACCAAAATAGCCTTCTTCTCTTATCTTTCGTAAAATAATCAATTGAATTTGAACTTTGATTAGGAGTCTCTTTATGTAATCCCAAATCAACACACACCCTTAAAGCTAACCCAAGAACGTACCAAACTCCAGGAACAGTTGGTCTCATAAGAGAATATAAAGTAAGTAATAGAATACTTTGTAATGATTCCAACTTATCCGGTGATGAACTTGCTGTCTCAAAGTATCTGTTTGCTGCTATTTTAAAAGAGTTGGATATATTTGAATGATATTGTAAATGATGAACAGAACTAGAGATTGCAAAAACCATGCTTAAAAAATATAGTGCTTTATGAAACTTTTTAGGTGGAATAATAGTATTGGATATTTCATTTGGGTCCCCATTATTATGAGAATTGTGTAGCCGCTTTTGAAACTCTTGTTTATACTGAAAAAACCAGGTATCTTCATCTATAATATTCTCTCCTTGAAAAAAAGATACATTTATCGGTGAGTAATTATTAGCTAGGATTACACCCTCATCTATTTTACCATAAATTGGGATAAAGTACTTTTGTATAAATTCTTCTCTGTGAAATATTGGTAATTGAGGGTTTGATTGTGAAAAGAAAATCATCAAAAATTCTTGGGCAGTGCTTTTTGGAGGCAATATAGCGGGTGATGCGTGAATGTCTTCACATCCCATTATTGGGTCTATTCTCTCTTGATCTTTGCTTCCTTTGTGGCTCCTTATTGCAGTAAACATCAATTTTGAAAACGAAATTTCTGATCCCTCGAATATTGACGCATTGATATCCTCGAATGGTAGCTGTTGCTTCGGCACAGGTGGCAGACCATGTAACTGACTACCATCAGTAAAATTAGTTATTGGCTCATCATCATGCTGAACCTCAGCTTCCTCGGTAACTTCGGTGTTGTCATTGGGATAGATTCTTCCTTGGTTTACCTGCTCTTCTAATTGCATGATTCTATTTTCCAAATACATGACATAAGACCTAGGAACCTCCCTACCTGTAACTGAATCTAGTCCAACACAATCAGCGTTCGCTTTAGCACATTTAGTACATTTTGGAAAGTTTTGATCACATTTAATCTTCTTCACCCTACATCTCTGACATGCTGATATGGATCGGGAAATACGTGATATTTGTGAAAGAGATGGCGATCTTTTGTTATTAAAATCAACACCCTCTGAATTGCTCCTTTTCGCAGGCATTTGGTACTTAATATTCACAATTCGAGTGTTTATACCTTCGGGTTTAAGTATATATTAGCGATGTTGATTTTTTTCATCGTTCGTAAATATTGATAAGCTTTATTATGAAGCCGCACTGAGTCTACAAATCGAGCAATATAGATAAGAAAATTCTTACTTTTAATTAAATAAAACAAATAAAGAATAATAATACATTGCAATAAGAAGCAATTTCAGATATACACAATTAGCTTAAGTGTTTGATATTAACCTTATCTAATTGGAACTTAGCAGATAATCTTGGAATTAATACTTCGTATCCTGCAGTCTTACATTCGAAATCGTTTGGATCATCTTCAACATGTAATGTTGTCACTAACGAGTCCGAATTCAAAGGGTATTTAATATGAGTAAAATCGACTTGTTTGGATTTTAATTTTTCTTGACTACCATCTGATAAAGGTGCAGGGAATTTACGAATACTCGTGTCCACTTCTTCTTTGTAGATCGATTGTTTAGCGAGAATTAAATCAGCCCAATTACGTTTATTCAAGAAAAGATGGTTATCTCTAGGCTTTCCGTTTGGGTGTTGAAGGAAAAGAGGAACAACATCTTCATCAGTATTTTTATTAAAATGATGAATTTTTGATCTCTTATTTAATAATTTAGCCATGGGATCTGGTGGTGGAGCATTGATAATAGCTGAAGACGTAACATTGAAAATTAATCTAGGATCTAATTCTGGATGCTTAAGGACATCGATATTTTCTTTCTCGACTTCTTCAGGGTAATCAGTCAAAACATGGAAATTTGGATAGTGATGGATCTTAGATTTCAATCTACCAATACAACACAAATGAACATCACCCGATAATATAGTGACTCTGACACCATTTGCCGCACCAAAATCAATCAACTTTTTAACCAAATAATTTCTTTCACGCTTGTGGTTTGCAGAACACCAGTGATCGTTCAAGTCATCCAAAACTTCAACCCCGCCATCAAACTCATTCACTAAACCCTTGTTAATTACACCCTTTGCTGCTAAAGCCTTAAGTGGTTTTAAGACAGGAGAACTTAATATCCATTCTAACCAAACTAAACGAGGGTAAAGAATAGGCACACCTAACATGACCAAAAGATGCTTAACCTCAGGAGCATTCTTAATTTCCGTCTCTAAACGGCTAAATATCTTCTTGTATGTACCAGGCTTAATGATTTCATTCAATTTTCTTTCTGTTCTACAATCCAATCCTAGCAAACTAATTTCCTTACCTAATCTAACGTAGTTTGAATGGTTCTTCTGGTTAATGTAAGGACCTGGGGTATCAGATAAAATCCAGGACGGCTCAGCGTCAGTTGAATTGTGAACATTCTCATGAGGTGACATATGGTGTTGGAACAACATATAATATTTGTATGCGATGTTCCCAACTGCTTTGAAATAATCTTGAGACATAGTGGAGTTGTGGTACGAACCAAAACCATCTATGATATCATGATCATCATAAATATTCACAGAAGGAATTTGAGACATGGTCATAGGAAATAATGTCTGGTATGTTCTACCACTGGAACCCTCCCAGAAACCTTTACCAAACCATGCCATGTAGTGGTTCAAGTAATAGTTTTCAAATTCACGAATGGTTCCGTCATCAACTCTCATGTGTCTTTTCTTCATAGGATTTCTTTCAGAGAACCACTTCTGTAAGTTCTTGGAGTGCAATTTAATAGAATCAGAATAGATTTGGTCCCCCCCTCCCAACATAACGTGGTAATGTTGTTTGGCATGCTTTTGCAACACATCGAACCAAAGCGAAGACTTATATTCCTTTGGATCACAACCTAAAGAAAACCCATTACAGGAGTACGAAATCACATTCATAGACTGTTCGAGTGATGGCACGAAGAATTGGTATGACTGTTTATAGCAATCATTGATGAAATACTTAATCTTTTGTTCATAATCGACCAATGTCAAGTCAACATTGAATCTCCAGAATTGAAATCCGTCCTCTGTGAAGAAATTGGTTCCTGGAAATTCGCCCACTGCTAAGTTTGGCTTACTTCCCTCGTCCACTGCAGGCCCAATTTGATACGTAATCTTTGGCTGCACTGCATCATTGCCTTCAACCTTATTCACAAGCAATATCGTAGCTCTATAGTTCTTAGTGTTGTCCTCTAAAGTACCGACCAATTTCAAGATTGGCCCACATCTAATGTCTAACCCGCCAATTGGCTCACCAATGGGCAATTCCTTAGGCACGTTTTCTCCGCTCAGCTTGTTAATGTGCTGAAAATCAGCAACGGGGATTGGTTCAAACCAATTCGAAGCATCAACTGTCATTATAATAGTACTTATATCTCTATATTAAATTGTATTATATTATTATGATATCAACAATTCAATTGGTTTAAGTAGCAATAAAACCTGGATGAGACAAAATTTCGAAAACAATGTAAGCGTCTCATTCCTTCATATATATCCTACTCTTCCTAATCATGACAATTACCGAACCGTGTGTGGTCACACTACAATCTATATACTGTATGCATCTATAAACATCCATACATACACATATTGGAATATATTACTCGGATAACTAACGTATGGTATCATCTTGTACTATTCTACGATTCTCATTGCCCATGGTATTTTAATCCGTACTTTAACAGGTTCTTCGCTAGCATCACTTATATAATGCGAGTATTCTGTATTGAGTAATTTTTGTTGCCGAGTAGTAAGGCTATCTTCGTCGAATTATGATATTGATGGAGTCTTCGATATACATCTGTCAAACTGTTATTCGGTGAATGACGATGATGGTCTCTTAGTAAGTGGCATTCCATGGCCTATGATAGGGTATGACGTAGTATCAGCTAGCCAGCCGCGCCAAGCAGCGAAAACATGAAATAGCGTGGCTTACATAAGCCGACTTATGGTAGCATATGCTTGTGCCGAGGTACACTGGCACTAGAACAAGTATGGGTGCAAGGAAGAGTGTTCCCATAGGTGATAGAAGCTACGTGAATGCAAACTTGTACAAAAGGAATACAAATAAGATATAAATACGATTAAAATGATAAAACTAGCTATGAAAAATGGATGCGAGTGCCATGGATCAGTGCTTTTTTTCCCTTAAGAGAAGCCTTCCGCTTAACATGTCGGCCACTTCAATCATTTCAGTCCAATGGACGACTCTACCCTTTCTCAATGGGATATTTGCGTCGTTGGCAAACAAAGCTTTGACGGAGTTGAATTTAATTTGGGCACCTTGGATTCCAAGCACAACCGCAGAGTTTTCGTCCTCTTCCTGTTCGAGAATGTGTTTAATACTGGTCTTGATGCCGGAACGAGATTGTCTATTCGCCTTAGAGGCATTCATGTCCAGAATCAAGCCTCCTAACTTTTTATTCCAGTCTTCGATGAATTGACACGACTTCACGGCAAATCTGCATGCATTGACTCTATCCATAGACGTAGGAGTGAAACCTTGTTGGACGTGACCAGGAACAGCAGTTCTAGTTTCAAACCTTCCACCAGCAGATTCCTTGATAATATCAGCTATGAGCTCGGTGGTATACACGGAAGAAGCTTGTTCGTTTCTGATAATCATTTTCCCGTTGTTATATTCACCTCTGTCGTCTTGGAAAACTTCGTACAAAAGATCTATATCTTCTTGTATGGTCTTCAAGTCCATCTTTGATTCTGGAGTATATGTAGCAAGTGATCCAGTGATCAAACCACAATATGAAGCTACGAAACCCGAATGGCCACCTTGAACCTCTACCACAAAAACTCTTCTTCTTGATGAAGACGCTGATTGCTTCACAGCATCACAATATTTAACCAACTGATTCATACAGGTGTCACCACCTAACGAATATTCTGTACCTGGTACATTATTAGACACGGTAGCAGGGATGACAACCATTGGAATATTGAAAATAGGATATTGGTGTTTGTTTTCATCCAATTCGTGTAAGGCTGTAAAACTTTCAAAGCCACCGATTATGATTAAACCTTGTAAGTTATACTTTTGGAAATAATATGCAACGTTACCAAAATCCTCACTTGGTAAGGATCTATTAGTACCAATTTCCGAACCACCCTTATTATGCCACCCTTCGACATCTAACCAGCTTAATTCTTTTATTTCACCTTCATTGATTAAACCATTAAACCCATTTTGAATAGCAAATAATTTATGACCTTTCGACATACAGTATAATGCAGCCGCTCTTGTTGCCGCATTTAAACCAGAGGAGGAAGCACCAACATGAACAACACCAATGTTCAATCTTTCTGCCTCAGGTAATATTTTCAGTCCGTCGTCATAAATTGATGACGATAAAAAGTGATGATATGCGTCTTCGAAACTGGAGTCTCTCAAACTCATTGCTTTATCGAAATCCTTATTCTCAATAGCGGTAGCAACAGACTTTGTTAACTTAACTGCTTCGATCAAAGGCTTTCTAACGATTTTGTTTTCTAAACTACCAATCATAGGTGAGGGATCGTCTGGAGTTAATTCTAATACAGCTTTGACTGCATCGACACCCTGTAATGTTGCCAATAAACGATCATATGCTACTGCAGTACCTCCTCTTTGAACGTGGCCTAAAGTGGTAATTCTAGTATCCAAACCCAACGACACAAGAACTTTTTGAACTTGATCTGGAGTAATAGGATTCAAATCGTCATCAATTGCCCCTTCTGCGATAATAACAGTCGTATTTCTCTTACCCTTTTGTCTATGTCTTAAACAAACATCTTTCAACTCGTCTTCCCATTGTCCGGCCTTTGGTGGTCTTTCAGGAATGAAAATAAAATCAGCTCCAGTAGCAAGACCTGCCATCAAACCTAACCACCCACAATGTCTACCCATAACTTCAACGATAAAAGCTCTGGAATGAGAAGAGGCTGTAGCATCAATATAATCAACCATTTCAGTGATTCTCTCTAATGCTGAATATGCTCCAATAGTAGAGTCAGTTGAAGCCATATCATTATCGATTGAGCCGACTAATCCAACCATTGTCAAATGTCTATATGGTTCTACTTCTTTCGTAGTAAAAGTACCGTTACTGACCAATTCATCTACTAATGAAGGCCATTCAGATCTAAATAAATCAGCTCCGGTCAATGATCCATCACCACCACAAACAATCAATGCATCGATACCGTTTAAAATCATATTACGAGCACCAGCTAATCTACCTGAACGTTCACGGAATTTAGCACATCTTGCAGTACCAATAGCTGTACCACCTAATGACAAGTACGATCTAACATCCGCCCATTCCATTTGACGCAACAAGTCACCACCTTGGACTAACCCCTCGTAACCTTCGTAAACAGCAAATACGTCACAGCCATAATAAATACCTGCTCTTACAACAGCACGAACTGCTGAATTCATACCTGGCGCATCACCACCAGAAGTCATAACAGCAATTTTTTTCTTTTTAATTGTCTCAGTTGGTTCATCCTCAGTATCTTTTGTTCCCAAACGATCTAATGACGCGAGAATTTTTTCGGTTTTATACTTCAAGTAATCATCTGGAGAATCAAACGACCTTTTGGATAAGGGATTTTCGACGTTCGAGAAGTTCAAAGTATTACCCATAGGATCAACTACTCTGATTACCGTATCGGTCGAACTTACTATTTCAGTTTTTAAATCCTTAGTCAAAATATCCTTGACTCTTGGCAAATCCGATGTAAAAAAGTTCAATTCTTTTGCCATATTGCTCAAGTCATCTAAAGAAGATAATCTAATCTTGACAGTTGTGGCCAGACTTAATTGTTCGCATCCATCTCCATTATACACTGGTAGCTCCTGCCAAGGTCTAACACAGCCATTTTCATCTGTGTTTTGCAATGGAAAAGACTCTAACCAAAGCTCCTTTAAGGAATCATTCGAAATCCCTATCTGCAATTTAGGCTTACTTTCCGAATTGTTAGCAATTTTAGAAAAATTCTTAGTTAATCTAAATCCCAACTTATTATAGAAGTTGGCACTTTCTTCGAAAACTTCATGTTTATTCGTAATTAACGAAATAAAACTAATTCCTTGAATATCATTCCTCGGAGTTGGCATTTTAAATTTATTCTATTAGCAATGTTCAAGCGAAAAAGAGCTAGAAATCTATATCTCTCAATTGAAAACTATTAATTGATTGTACCGCCCTTCTCCGTCTCTAATTGACAAGTCTGAATGGTCAAATGTTCGAGGGAATTTTATATAGTCTGTATCTACTATATTAATGTTCTTTGATCATCCGATGCTACAAGTCCGGAGCTTCTGAAGCCGAATTCATTACGTCATATGCACGACTTTTTTTTATTCCTATATATTCTATTAAAGTACTAGAATTATAACTAAAATTTCGACAGCTATGGCCTCTAACATAGTCATCCATCGGTTGGTATTCGAAACACCCAGAATGGCTGCTGCAATAGTGTTGTTTTGAAAAACTTCTGCAATGTTTGTGTCGGAGGGCATCGCCGGGGGAGTTTTTTCGCTGCTAACAATATTTGGCTTAACTTCGGACGGTGTAGTTTTTTCTTTAGGAGTTCGTTCGTATTTAGAGTTTTTATCGTTCTTCGTACGAATGCTTGTATCAAAGTCTCTAAAAGCATTTTCTGTTATTTCAAACTTGTTCTTGGGAGGCCATTTCTTATCTGAATTCTCATTCGTGATCCAATCATCGAAGCTGTCTCCATACCTGTGTTGGAAGCCAGTTGAGTAGTCAACAACATGAAGATTCCTGATTAACATAGAGTATGGTAGCTCTTCATAATTAGTGTCACCTCCAGACCACTCAATTGTTCCTGGCTCGTTTAATTCATCGCCTCCAGCCCATAAACTAAACTTGATATACATAGGTGCATGCGGGAATCCTTGAGGGTGGTCGTTCGTCACAACTCTAATAACATCTCCGTCAAGCAGCCATACAATCTTTTCTTCTGTCCATTCAATACCATATTTATGGAACTCGTCCATAGGAGGAACATCCATTTCGTGGTATCCACCTCTGTCATGCGTGGATGTATTTCCTCTGATAAAAAAATTAGTTTGGAAAGCATAGGGGTTGCTACCAAACGTTTCGGCTACGTCAATTTCATCCAAGTTCTTGCTCTGTAGATAGAACGATGAGATTATTCCCGACCCATGCGAAGCCTTTAATTCCACTTCTGCTCTGCCGTACAATACCTCAAATGTCGACAGGATCGACGGGTTATCAAACCTCTTGCGGATCGAGAATTTAAGTCCTGAATCATAATATTGAACAATTGGGGGATCTGCTGAAACTTGAATATTTTCTTGTCCACCAGCTAGGAATTGCTGTGTAGGCTTATGTATACCTTGAGCTTCTGCAACACAATTGGGATCGTCCAATGAAGTGCATGCTTCAAGTAATTCGAATTCGTTGGCAAGGACGCATCTCCCTATAACCAATAAGATAATTGAAGTTATTTTCAACTTCATATTAGAATATTGTAACTTCTTAGATGTAAGATTATGAAGGTATGGATGATTAAAAAGTAGGATCGGATAATTGTGGTTTTATATTGCAGCAATTTTTTTTTTGTAACCAATATGCGGCTCGAGCGTAATAAAATTTCTGATCTTCCGATCAGCATAACGAAAACATCAATCTAGCAGACTACAAAAATGGCAGATGAGGGTACTGAATATTCAGAAGTGCATAGAGTTTTACTCACTTACATAATATCTGTTCGATATATCAGTCATAGTGAATTGGAACCCAAATTTGGTACGATAGTACAGAAGCTTAATCGAGAACTTCTAAATGATAAGACATTAGAAGATCTTTTACAAGAGCATATAACATCCATAAATAGTAAAGTAAGTTTGCACGGTTTTAAAATTGACAAGATTAGACATCAAGTATCGGGGCAGTTACATTACGTCTTAATTAATACTGTATCGAATGAAGTGATTAAAGGAAATACAAATTACTCTGTAAATGAGCTCGATACGATCAAACGAATAATAGACGAACTAGTCGAATCTAGCAGTATAGATTTCTCCATTGGAGTTGTCAATGCTACACAAAAGGTATCTAGTGGGTTGAACAAAACTATGAAGGAGGCTGGGTCTGTGATCACCAAATTCATTGATGATGGATGGTTTAGTCTTACATTTAACGATCGATTAATATTATCTATACGATCTTTAAGTGAACTCAAAAGATATTTGATAGATAGATATGGTATTGTTAGTTCCCAAACTGATGGAAAGATATTTAGTTGCTACCAATGCAATGAAATCAATACTTTGGGATTAAGATGCCCTATGGTCTATTGTCAAATAAACTTTCATTATAAATGCTTAGATATTTATATGAGGAATGAAACTAACAAAGGAAGATGTCCCAATTATTCCAATTGTTCGTACCATTGGCCAGGAAGTGAATTATCAAATATTGATCCGAAAAGGATCGGAGTCGATCCAAACTCATTGTATAATTAATTATGTAGTAATCTATACGTCAAAACTATCTAAGTATTCCGCTTCGACTTCATCAATAAGGTCCCAGTACCATTCGTCTATTATAATTTCATTGTATCGTTCGCTCATAGGTCTTACATCGTTATCTAATCCAGCTATTGGGAACTTAAAATCAGGTCCTGGATTGATGCCCACAACCCCGTTTTGAAAAACTGAAAGCATTGGATAGTATCCTAGTGAACCATCATCAGTATTCTTGTATCCTGTATTCTGCAGTTGTCTTGTGTTGTACGAGACGTTCAATTCGGCATCTTCAAGATATGTAGGTAAGAACGAATACAAATTTTCAAACATTACCCCGATTTCAATCCCATTCTTAAAGACAGTAATCTTGGAATTTGGAATGGTTTGTAAATTCGTTGCTTCCCTTGAGTTCCCAGCATTTTCCAAAATAGCTTTCTCTCCGAACACTGTTACAGGGTTTAACAAATGGTCCATCTTCTTTGTAGTGGTATATTCGTATTGTTCATAATACAACGCATTTTTATACTTGATTGGAATTTGATCTCTTGAAATATTATTATATTTAGTAAATTTTTCATCATCATTATCGGCTTCATTGTTTTTCTTCGTCTTACGCTTCTTCTTACCAGGATGACTGTCATAAGATTGTGTACCTTTTTCCTTAAGTTTCTGATTAATAAAATCATCTATTGCTTTTTTGTGTTCTTCTAAAGACGGTAACTCGATAAGCATACCAATTACATCTCCGCTTTTAAACCCAGCAACGCCTATTTCTTTACAATTTTTCATGAATTCCATCGGCCTACTTAATGTAATTTTCTGCCCATTTAAATCCCTTAATCCATAACCATAACCGTCGAAGCCTACTGGAGCTTCTAAGCTTGCTTCTTTGCGAGCGAACCCAATTCGTACATGGCTTTTATCGGCAGAAGTATTTGCATTTATAATATTAAACTCAATATAATGTTTTCCTTCTCTGACACCAATATTACTTCTTACTGACCTCCATCCTTGTAATGTGGATACAGAGCTCAGGTCGCTATTGAATATTATACCCTGTGATCTATCAAAATAACTTGGACGGACGATGAACGGAGGTAAGTCAGTTGTTGAGTATAAATTCGATGGAAACAGGGGATTCGGTTTACAAGGTTTGTACTTAAAACCTCTCTTGTTAAAGGGATGATCATCAGATTGATAAAATTTATCTTCATTTATTTTCTTTATTAATTGTTTACTTGGTTCTTTCCCGTCGTTCTTAGTCAAATCTAATTTTTTAAACGGTACAGGCTTTAAACGAGGTTGAATTATTACATTGTGTTGTTTCTGCTTCAATTGTGATTTCAAATTGTTATCGTTGTCCTTTTTATCTTTTGATCTAGTAGAATATTGATGAGCTGTGGTAGAAATAGGAATTGGTGCTTGTGCTTCATTATAAAGGGTCTCCTCTTTCACCTGTGGTTCAATTGAAGCATCCACGGATGTCTCTATGGGTTCTCCCAATTCAGGTTGATCTGAAACCTTTGCTTTGTCAATTGTCTCCATAATATATGGCTATATCGATAATACTTCTACTCCTGTTAAGCGTTTCTCTCAGCTCGCGCACTAAATAAAAATTCGACGATTATGTTAGAAACTGTGAATCTACATGCTATTACTACGTAAAATAAACGATCAAATAAATTCATTGTCTTATTAGTAACTACCCTATCCTATTCCTTAAACTTATTTCTTTAACCCAATTTTTTTCCAGAACGATTTTTTTCTAGGTTTTTTATCTTCTTCATTGCTACCAAGAGATATATTGTCTACCTTTGCTGATTTAGTCGAATTAATCGAATTCAAAGACCTATCTTTTTTATTGTTTCTTATCTTATCATTTTTAATTTCTTCTTCTTCGTCATATGATATCATAGATTTCACTTTATACATCTTTTCTCCGTTGTTTTGATGATTATTATGATTGTTAAGCTGTGAATTATAAATAGAATGCATTTTGCTGTTGAAGACAACGGAATCATCAAATTTCAACCCACTTGATGACAGATCCCTGCTCTTCAAAGCTTCGAGATAATTGTTCAGCTCATTTAAAGACTTGTCTGAAATTATTGATAAAATATGTTGGAATTTATCAATGCTATCCAAATTTAATAAATTATTGACCTCTGCCTTCAAATTTAAATCTAAATCGGAAGCTCTTTCTTCAGTAGGAGTTCCACCATAGCTTTCGATTGACTCATTTGAGGACGTGTAAATAGATATCCCAGAGCTCTTGCGAGAATTACGGGGCAATTGATGAAATTTAGTTGCATTTCCCACTACTATCACCGGGACTGTGGAATACTTAATAATATAGGAACTAAATTTGATCATATAGTCATCGACCTTCTTTTTCTGGAAAGCACTAGGAGACGGAAGTGAGTGCCTTTTCAAGTCACTAGGGAGAGAAGAGCGTGGAATACCCGTAGTTACACCACTGGGTTTCGATTCCGAATTACGCTTCATTCTTAATGGATACTTAAAGTTCAAGTTAGTGGACTTATTTCCGATTATAACCAACATTGGCTGATATTGTCTGTAAATGTGAGCAAGCATATACTTGATCCCAGTTCTGTTTTTGGTAGATATACTCGTCTCGTCGGAAGCTTGATCGGTAATGAACTCCACGGTGATCTTCACTCTTAAATCTACAGGCAATTCACGAGTTATATAGTTTAGCAAATTTTCACATTTTGCTAACAATAATTCATCAGCCGTGTGCTTTTTCTTCTTCTCCTGCTCTTTTATGAATTTAGCAGGTATGAAACTGGTGACTACCAAGTAATCCCCATCATTCAAAAACGATGGTTCTTGCTTGTTTCCTATCATTAAGAGCCAGTCGAGTGCATTCCACGTATGCTTTCTTCCAGATATGACAGTAAGTAATGTTCTGTTTGCCGTTGTCAGGTCGTAATCGTTATGCTTAACCGTGAGATTTATCGATTTGTAGTTATTCTCATTCGACGTAGGGTAAGTAGCTTTGCTAACTACATTAGTCGATGTTTTTCTAGACGACGGAAGGTAGTAAGTTTTCTGCGAGTCAAAACGAAACTGCTCAACATTAGAAACTTTGGATTTGGTAGTAGAATATTGCGGGTCCAACGCCATCAAATCTTCGTCTGTCATACCCACATACGATTTCCGCCTCGCAGGCTCTACTTGTTCCTCATACTTGTTCCCATCTTCATCTATCTCTTCATCAGAATCGTAAACCGCAGAAGTCCCGCTTCTTGCGATCTCGTTCAAGTCTTCATGGTAGTTGATTCCTGCTGTCTCGCCGATTTCTAGGTTACGTTGTGCCTGTAACGGATTGAGTTTATTCTTCAATATAGATTTCGATGGTGGATCTGGTAAATGATATCGTTTGCGCGTGGTGGTATAATTGTCCCCTCCACCATAGATCTTAGGGAAATCCTTAAAAAGCGAACCAGGTCCCGGTGGACTTCCATAATTGATCTCTTTAAACCGTATATCTCCCGTCTGGTTACTGCTTTTCGTGTAGGCCCCCGATAAGGCATCCTCCTCGATATAATCGGGGCTTAAATTGTTGAATGATACCCTCCTAGCAAATGGTGATTGTGCTTGTGGTTGTACCGTTGAGGTAGACATTCTATATTAGTCTACGTGTAGTATATAACCCAATTACCTATCTAAAAGTCAATAAAATCAGTAAAAGTATGAACTTTCAAACTTTATGAATAATATATGGTGCCGATTCATGTATTATATACAACGAATGCCAAGGACAAAAACTGTATTGTTCGCATGAAAATAAATGGACTGTTTGCTAATTTTATATCGATGATCCAGCCCTTGCACTAATTGATTAGTTAAGTACTAATGTATCGCTATATCAAGTGCTCAAGTAGTCTCGTAATTACTGGCTTTGTAAATTACTTCTAACAGCTACCGTAAGTATATATTTAAAGCAAAGTTGCATTGGAACCAGCATTTGCCCAATTAGACAAGCAAATTGCCATATGCCAATTTTCATCGTACCCCCATTTATCTTATCGGCGAGGTCATTGACACCACCAACCACCAACCACCACCGCAGCATTTCGCGCGAAATGATCATGTAAACCTTTCCGCAGTGACTGGGTCAGACTATTAGACAAGCAAATTAGCTTCTACAAGTAGCATAAACTAAGTTAAGCGAAGGCTACGGCTGGAGTGCGTATTAAGGGGTATGTGGGTATTTGGACGTATATTTGGACGTATATTTGGACGTAATATGGACGTAACATGATGTAGAATAGGTTCCGGGTATACAATAGTACTATTATTCAGAATTAGTATTGGTGTATAATTAGTTAATACTACTACATTAAGTATATTAATCACTGAAAGTACATCAAAAGCGATTAAAAATATTAGAACCAGCTAGCAATTACTACAGCACAGCCATACGAGAAATGTAGCCACTATTATTCACCGTAAGCGCATTAAGTCCGAATTCCAGAAGCATGCTCAAAATAGCACCTTTTAAGGTTCTTTCTACACATGACCAGAAGTAAGTGAATATTCATCTGGCGTTTACACATAACCAAAAGTAAATGAAAACTCGTCTGGTCATGAGACGGTACAAACCGATTGACAACATAAGTCTCTCCTATTCGCTCGTAGCCGATAATGGAATTCCGTATTCATACATCCATACACCTATATACATGAGCACCGCGACTTACCCCGGTAGATAGAGATCGGCCAATGCATCGGACAGTGCATGGGTTGCTGATCAATATTCTAGTTTATTATTTCTTGTAGTATATTGCGAATGTTTAAGCGTTGTTGAAGATGCTATCAGATTTTCGCATATCACAACAGGGTTACATAATGGGAATATGGCTAAAGTTGCGAGGGGGTAACTATTTACGCGGAGACTCGAAGTGGAGGGTTTAAATCAATATAGTATCTTTTGCCTTATCTCAAAGTCCTCAGATACTTACGCAACGTAGACAATGTCTTGGATGTCAAACATAAACCTTACTTTTCGTAAGTGTATGGCCCCCACTCGTGTTTACATTTTCCTGAGTGCATTACTCTGGTGGATGGTATCTGCATAATATGTCCAATTACGGATGGTCGTCTACACTCAATTCCTTTCACGGATTAAAAAGGCTCAATTTTTCACGTGCATAAGGTGCAGGTCGGACCCAAACCTCACCCATCTCTACCCAACACCCATCGATCTGTATATTCGGAAACTGTTATTACACGCCAATTGCTAACCTGGGAACACTTCTTTGTATAGACGCAAATAAGAAATCCACATTTCCTATTTGTCGATGGTACATTTCCCCCTTAGCGGGTTGCGCTATCCTCAATGTGAGACACTTGTGGTATATCTTAATTACGAGTTACATGCAACTTACATTTTGTGTCCTGACATGGTGGCCAAAATAAATTGTTCGCAAGCGAAAAATGCCACCGTGGACCGTTGAGGTCATGTAAACAATTGGGTTCGACGCGCACCTATGTCAATTTGCAGCCAGCCTCCTATCTTTTATTGGGCAACTTATAAAAATCCCTCGGCCAAATGCGCTCCTACTACATGCCTTTCACAAGCCCAACCCCAACTTCCCGACACCATTTCCTATTAAGTAACAAACCACCCATCGACACACAACCCAGCCAGTGCCCCATATCCATTTCTTCTTGTAAGCTCTGTGCGACTTACGGAATGCCATTCCAAGGTTAACTCAAGCGAAGGGCACTTTTTCGCACACTCTTAAACAGCATCGGAAAGCACCAATAGAGTGTGCATAGGTCACTGGCGCATGTATGTGTGTGTGTGATACTATGCACAGGCTAATCCGTTAAGTAATCCCCAGAAATCATGTTGTAGCCTTTCGTACGACTCAGGTAAAAATTTTCGCCTAATTAGCTTGTTTTGTGACATAAGTCTCACTGCATTTCAAAAATAATTTGTACAGAATATATATACAACGTAAAATCTTTTCTTGTGGTAGTGATAATATTATCGTTGTTAAATAAAAAAAATATCGGTATTGAATACATATATCAGCTTCAATATATTAACAAACAGAAAACATTTAGGTGAGCTGTTGAATCGATAAAAGAAGCGAAGTTTTAAGTTGACCACTACGACCCGTACAAATATTGCCGGGTAAACCAACTTACATTAAAAAAGTCAATTACATGACATAGTATAACTTATAATTCATTGTACGAATCATATTATAAGTTATTGAGATAGTGATCAGTAATATACTAAATTTTGACGCAGAAATTGCTCAAAAAGGTCGAAAAGGAGTATTATGAAAAATGAGTAAACGACAAGAGACCCCTATTAAGAAGAATGCGTTTGTCCATAAACTCTATTCGATGTTAAACGACCCAGAGCTCGTGGACCTTATCTGGTGGACGAGGGAAGAAGACAGCAATACTTTTGCGCTCAGTCCTGGAAAGGACTTTGCGAATGCCCTCACGAGGTACTTTAAGCATGGAAATGTGGCCAGTTTTGTGAGGCAGTTGCACATGTATGGGTTCCACAAGGTTTCAGACCCAAGCCATGCTAGCGCCGCAAACAATGATTCAGAGTTGCCGGTGTGGGAGTTCAAACATTCGAGTGGAAAATTTAAGAAGAACGATGAGAGTTCGCTTGTCTACATTAAGAGAAGATCGTCGTCCAACAACGCGAGAAATGTGTATAACAACGAGAATGATGCCAATGTCGTGATTCCGACGTCAACCCCATCTCCCGAGCATGCTCAGTACCTTCAGGAGGGCCATCATTACTTGCCTCAAGGTTATTATTTCTATAATGGACACCAGGTAACCCATCATATGTCACCACAGTTGCCATTCCCTCCTGGAGGTGCACCAGTACCGCTGCATCAAACAAAACAACCCCCAATGTATTATACTCAAAAACCCATGCCATCCTCAGTTCCACATGAATATGCACAAGATAACGCATTGGAGAAGCCGAAAATGCAAGACATCCAACGGTCCATATCACCACAATCACAACCAGCTCCGCAACATCAAGTACCTCAGCTGCCAAAACCTCTTCCTATGGCACATATTCAACCACCAATGTCACAGGCTCAAGCACAACCATCTCTGCAAGATACGACAAAGCCACCCTACTCTCAACCAGATTCACAAGATACACAGCAACCCCAACATAACACACCAAATTTACAATTCAGGAAAATATGGGAAAATGATAATCTGCATTCCAGACCTCGTAACCCGTCACTTTTATTCGATCCTTTGGTGCCGGTTCCTGTGACTTCACAATTACAACCACTTCATCAATTACAAAATACAGAACAACAACCTCAGTCAAGTTTCTCGTATTTGTTGCCTAGGTCAGATTCACGTTCATCATATGCAAGCGCGAGAGAGTCCATCACGAGTACCAGAGACTCGTTTGCTAGTAATAGAGACTCGATCGCTAGTGGTAGAGAGTCACTTGCGAGTGCAAAGGATTCATTTTCGAGTGCGAGAGATTCGTTTGGTAGTGCTAGGGATTCCTTCGGAAACTCAAGGGATTCATTTACGCTTTCGAAAGATTCAGATAGGCTCTCCATCAAATTGCCACCTCCTTCTTCAATTCATAATCCAACTTTTTATACAAATAATTCAAACTCTCCATTTTCGTCGGTGTCCGACTCGAATTCCCAAGCATCAACAATTACAACTTCGAACCTACCAAAGGCACCTTCAAAGGATTCTCCATTAAGTTCTACGTCTACATCTACAATTAAAGTTAAATCAAATTCAATTCCAGAAACATCTACAACGGCTAAAAGGCCTTCCATTTTCCCGTCACATTCAGTTCATGAGAAATTGAGGCCTTCATTGATCGAGTTACATTTTGGCACATCTAACAAAACGTCAATTTTAAATCCACAACATGACTCAATTGGTTCTCAGTCATCACATAATTCAGTATTTTCGAATAACTCTTCATTATCTTCAACATCGTCATTTCATAGAACCTCCTCATTTGGTTCGATCTCACATCATCCCATTTTCTCAAACAAGAATTCAATTTCAATTGCACCTCATGAGGTATTACCGATTTCTCTGTTGTCACGTTCAAAAGGATCGAATCTGGAAGAAGGGATAAATCCGGACTCAAAAGATTCTACACCTGCTTTGAACTCTCCAAAGGTGCCCCAATTGAATTCACCTATAAAAAGGTCTTCGACAACTGCAATTCCCACTACTAATGGAGGAGCAGTGGCTCTGAAAATTAGATCTTTAAACAGTTCACCATTATCAAGACTGTTGACTAATGAAGATTTAATAGCTGGAGAATCTAGTAACACAAGGGCTTTTAATACAAAGGTTTCTATTCATTCTTTATTGGAGGATGACCATGGAGATGAAAAGATTTTGTTGCCAAGCAAGAGCAATATAAAAGCTGGTCTTAGAGAAGTGAAGGAAGTTATCACCGAACTCAATGAAGATAAAGACGCTAATGAGGATGATGAGGTGAAAGACACACAACGCCATTCAAATGATTCTCAGATCCCTCATAACAGCATCCAACACTCAAAATCGCTAGTCGATCTGAAGAGACAAAAACTTGACTAATCAAATGTATATTATTATTATGCTGTCATTCTATAATCTATTTTATTTATGTATTATTACTTAATGATATTTCTTTATACGTTTGCTTCATTCACGCAAAGATAACCTACGCAAAGTCATTAAAACGGCCTTTTCTTCTTAATTTTTGACTCGAATAATAAATTTGAGCCTTTTTTGACCGAACGGGCTTTAGCTATCAGTTCGTCGTCACTATCACTATTATCTATGCTAGTATTTTGTATTTTCGCCTTAGGTTTGGGAGTATTTATATTTTGATTGAAGCCCTTCCTCTTTGCCTTATCTCTATTTGTATTCCTCATTTTATTCATTAATGCCATCATTGGTTTAGAATTAGTCTTCCGTAAAGAACTATTTGAGTTATTTCCATCCTGTAGTCTTTTAAACTTTGTTTCATCAGAATTTATGAAGTCTCCTATACTTTTATTCGACTTTTCGATATTGCTTAACCCTGATCCTTGAGGTATAATTGGTAAATTAAGAAATGAGTTCTTCTCTTCATCGTTATGTGCAATTTCGTTATTAGGCTCTAACCAATTTAATATCTTGTTATTGGTATGTGAAATAGCTAGCTGAAACTTAGCTTGAAGTTCTTCTTTTTTCTTAATCTCTTGTCGTCTATTACCTTTAGACATTATTAATTATGCTATACCTTAACTTAATCTATGGGCCTTGTGATGCCTTTGATTAAAAATTAAACACTTAATGAATCTTC